ACTTTTCCACATTTGACGTTGACATCTGACACAATTGAACTGAACGAAAACGATGGAGCCATTAAAAAGGTTTTGTTTTTCGCTGTTGACCCAACATTTTAAATTTCGTTTTTCTCTAATTTGCTGCTATAACAACAATTTTATTTTATAATTCACGCTAAATAAAACTCCAGAAGATATTTCTAAAGGAAAAACATAATGTGAGCCTTTGAATTATATTTTTTTAATATGTTTAAATTTTTTCCTTTACACAGAGATTCTGGGTCCTAAATTAGACAAATCTGTATTGGTAATATAACCTTACCTTTTTCTGCCGCCTAGCAGTAATGTGAGCATTACTGCGTTTCCATTTTGAAGGGTAAGGGTGTAAGTGACATACACAAGCACATAGAACTTTTCAACTTATGTCTCAGGGTGACGTGCGTAGAAGCAGTGCCCCTCAGCTCTTTGGGATTTAAAGTTCTGAGTGGCACTGTAACAAATAACAGTTACAGTGCAACGCTTTCCACCTGGCGCACGACTGGTTCGTCCCATCATTTGATAACAACAAAAGATGAACGCGTTACCGAGACAAGAACGTTCGTCGTTGGACTTGATGAAGCCGCCGTCGCACTCGCATTCGTACCCGCCGGGCGTGTTGATGCAATGCCCATTGTAGCACAAAGTCGGGTCGTTTGCGCACTCGTCGATGTCCACGCACGAGTAGCTGAAATAAGCAGTTTGTCAAAAGTATGGTTTAACCACTACAACATAGTTTCCCAAAGTGGTGCCTACCCCAGTGGGCGCTAGTAGTTTTAATTGGGGGGTGTTGATGCTATCCAGGGGGTGCTAACGCATTTAAAAAAACCTGAATCTATAAGCTACACTACAAATATCTTTCCTTGTGATTTTTTGCATTAAGTTCATATAAAAAATACATGTTTTCAACATTGACTTACAATTATATGGACGTCGGGTCCGCGCTAAAAAGTGTCCGCACTTGTAAGGCGCTAAAATCGTATACAGAGCGCGACACTCCGCTTTAGTCTTCATTTGTTCTACGGACAGCGCGATACTGCGATGACATAACAATTTAAATTTCGAATAGGTTGACTTGGGACATTTGTTTCGTGGTTTTTGTATTAGACCCGTCGTCCATTTATTTGTAAGTCAATGGTTTTCAATTATTTTTTGAGGTGGTGGGCGTTAAATTTTTTTTTATGTTGCCTAAGTGGGCAGCGAGACAAAAACTTTGGCAACCTGTGCACTATAAGATCATGGTAGGGTAACAATTATCCTGGGAACATCCATCGGCTTAGGTAAAAATTCCGTCACTTTTCTGTCATTTCATCATATACAGAACTATTTATTTTCACGATCCGCCGTTTCAGATTGACCGAAACAACGAATCGATAGTGTATGTTTATGCCTTTAACGGTTACCTTGAATGCCAGGGTTGTAACTACGACCGATACAATTGTCGAAATGATCGATCGAAACGAAGAATCGTCTTTATATGGTGGCCTTTAGACTTGAACTTCAATATCATAGTAAAATTAGAGAAAAGTGATAAAAATATTTCCTAAGCACGTAGTAAGTGATTATTCGTTAGTAAATTGTCGGATTTGCTGTTCCATCGGTTAGCGTAAAATATGTTCAGGAATTGCCAAAAGTTGCAGAACAAAAATTATTGCATCGATTCGTAACGTTACTATATAATCTCAATACAGAATACTAAAAAAACCGACCTCAAATGTAATTCATCCCCTAGTTTGTTACATTTAGAGGTGTGTCTCAAATAGTTTAAGTGGCAATGTAATGCATGGTGCCATAGCCTATGTTAAATAAAACAATAATAAAAAAATATTTGAGTGATAAAGCAACTTTGATTTCTTTTATAAAATTAGTAGTTTCATATAAAACAGAATATTTTCTTCAAATTTGAATGGGACCACTTCTAAGGTATCCTCTTTCCAACAAAAAAATATTCATCAAAATCGGTTCACAAATGAGTTATCGCGTAACATTCACACAAAAAAACATACAGTCGGATTGAAAACCTCCTCCTTTTTTAAAGTCAGTTAAAAATGTACAGAGTTACACTTCGTCAACTTACCCATCGCCCTTGTAACCCGTATCACACAGACACATGAACGACCCATCGGTGTTCCGACATGTCGCTCGTGGATGACAACCGCCATTATTGGTGAGGCACTCGTCAATATCCTCGCACTGCGTGCCATCGCCACGCCAGCCGTCACGACAGCGGCATTGGAACGAGCCCTACAGAACATCACTCGTAATAAATATAATCAGTTACAAAATATAGGTGACGTTGCCGTCTTACAAATACGTTAAAGTACATTGTGTATTAAGGGCGCTCACTTATTGAGCGCCCTTAATTTCTTAAAATTATTAACGAGAGTTTGTTAGTTTGTAAGTCTGACTCGAGGTTTGTAATTTTCACCGCCCGTGCCACATACAATATTTTTCATCGCATTTGCGAGGAAATAGATACAACGTTAATTTATTTCTTGTATGAATAAATATTACAATACCACATTTACGGATTTTGCCAATGGCGGTTTTTTTTTTAAACAGATTGCCAGCTATTCTTCCATATATAATACAAGTCCAACTAAAATGGTATAAACGGCACAGACGAATGCAGCCACAATGTATTAGATATAAAATAAATATTTTCTTAATTCTAAAAATACTGCAGCATTTGAATGCACAAAATAAATTTAGTAAAATATAGTTAAATTACAAATTTTTTATGCTTCAAGTTTATGTGAAATATACGTTGAAATTTTCCGAGCATAAAAACTTTTTGCTTTCTTGAAGTAAAAAATCCATAGGGCGACAATGTAATGAAAAAGCCCGTGTGCATAATTTAGGACATTACGGTCGACTTTGCCTGCATGTCATGACACTGTTTACGAGCAAGCGTGATGAAAAGTGATTTTAGAATGTAGATGTGAAACAAAATAGCATTGAGCTCATTGATTTACAATTATATGGACGTCGGGTCCGCGCTAAAAAGTGCCCGAACTTATAGGGCGTTAAAATCGTATACAGAGCGTCATTCACGCTTTAGTCTTCGTTTGTTCGACTGACAGCGAAGCAAGCAAAATTAGACAGTATTGCGATGACATTACAATTTAAATTCAAAGTTTTAGCTTTTTCATATTCTTTTACATGTCACTACGTTTAAATAGGTTGACTTGGGACATTTTTTTCGTGATTTTTGTAATAGACCCGTCGTCCATTTCTTTGTAAGTCAATGATTGAGCTAGAATAATAAAAATAATAATGCACATTATCAAAATGACTTTTACAATGAACGACGCAAATCGAACCCCGAAAATCGCCCGGGAATCGAACTCGGACTTTCTGCGTGGCAGACCCGTGTGATAACCGTTCGACCACTGAGGCAGTTAATAGGAGAATTTAGCACCAAAGTTTATATTAAGTTAATATAGATAATATATAATAATATATAATATAATAGTATATTATTATGATTGTAAACGAAAATTAAAAAGCTGTAAAGTTTGCAAATAAACAAATAAATAAATAAATAAATAAATAATATGGTTAAAAATAATGAAGAAGCATATTGACCGGGAGGTTGATGCAGTCCGCGGCGGGGTGGCAGTCACAGGTTCCAAGCTCGCATTCGTCGTCGTCAGTGCAGGCAGGGCCCTGCTCGGGCTTCACACTGTATCCGTCTGGACAGCGGCATACAAAGCTGCCGATAGTGTTGCGACACTCGCCCGCATCGCACAGGTCGGGCACCTGCAACATTAACAAGGACTAATAAGCATTCGTCAATATGGGCCGAAAGAGAATGTCTTGCACATCTACTGAATATTTTTTATTTATGTATTCAAGTAACCAACAATATCTTCGAAGTCTGTATAAACTAGACCTATTAAACCATATATTGAAACATATAAGGTAAATAAATTGTGCAAATGCGTGACGGTCACCAAATATTACCATACCAATGAAAACAGTAAAAAGGTATGCATAAAAACCACTATACAATATAAATTCGTTCACCTTTTTTTTTCTTGAATGTACTTAATAAGATGGCAAAAATATCGTCATTATTTTTATTGAACAAAATTCTTTTAATTCAAAATGAATTGTCCATAAAAAAATCTGCGTTTACAATTATTTGCTGTTATTGACGTTTTAACCAAGAAATCTCTTTCCTATGCTTGGAGTATATGTATTAACGAACAACGTAGAAATAAAATGGGGAGTGGTTTTTTTTTTTATAATATCAAGTGACGGTACGAACAAGTCGTGCACCTGATGGTAAACTACACGTCTGTCCATAGCAGTTGTAGTGCGACTCAGAGCTTTAAATTGCAAAGATCTGAGGGGCACTGCCACTGCGCCCGTCACCCGGAGACATAAGTTGACAAGTCTCATGTGCCTGTAATTTCCCCAGCACCCTTAACCCTTCAAAACCGGAACACAGTACTCCCTTGGACGAACTATTTCACAAGGAGTTCTACTGCTACTAAACTTCGATAACACTGGTTTGCGTTATCGCAGCTTCGGAAATTCTTTCGAATGAACAAACGCCTGCGACTCACGTCATTGCACTCGTCGATGTCTATGCAGGTGGGCAGTGCACCGTCGGGTGAGGGAACGAGCCCCTCTCCGCAGGTGCAGCGGTAAGAGCCGGGGGTGTTGCGGCACTCGCCGCCGCCGCAGGGCCGGACGCCGCCCGCGCACTCGTCCACGTCGCGGCACGAGCGCCCGTCCGAGCGCAAGTGCCAGCCCTCGCTGCCACCACACGAAACAGAATGTTACCAATCGACGATTGTAACAACCTTCATAGATTTTAGATAGATAGATAAAATGTTTATTGCTTCCCAAAAAGAAGAACCACACAAAACAGAAATTAAAATTGACACAGTGTAAACAAACACACAACAAAAAAAACTTGAATTTCGTAGTTGCGACATTTTTATTATAATTTAATAATCGGTTTTCACTACCATGTATAATTCCAATGAACACTGCGCCAACTTAGTTTTTTTGGTCATTGTCTGTTTTTAATGTAAACAGCCTTATTTTATTTACTAATATTATGCTCCCCGAATTTTGTGAAAAATAATAAAGAAACAAAAAACTAAATTCGAACAAAAAATTAAAAAAAAAAGATTTTTCATTTTTAAAATTTAATTTAAGAAAAACAAAATTGAATTTACTTGACATAATGTTCACTGGGGATAACGTATATTCATCTATTTTTTTGTGAAAATCTCGACTCGTTTGTTATTATTAGTAATACAAAGCTCGAACAAACGCAAAAGAAAAAATCCTTCGATTCGGCTGGACACGAACCAACGACTGTGACTAACGCTATTGCTGCCAACTGAGCTACGGATAGAGCCATCATGTCTTACAATTTTTTTTATGTGCCTGTTGCTTGTTACAGTTGGCAGAGCGGTCGCCACATTGAGGCAACAGTCGCTGGTTCGAGTCCAGTCGGATAGAAGAAGCTTTCGTAATTATTCACTAAATCATTATTACTATATAACTACAGATTTCTTCCTTCTTATCATATTGGAGTAAAAAAAAATTAGTGATAATCATGAAACCTACCAAAACTACACCAAACCACAAATACGGAGTAAAATCTAGACGACATTGCAAATCGGGTAAAACGCGTAGAAACAATTTAATAGGTGTGGTACCCTTACATTAGTCATACAATGCGCTTACAAGACGTTTTGTCTTGTAAGGGCATTCCTTAGTACAGAGCAGTAGAGAGAGAGTAGAAGAAACTGCATGTTAATTTAAAACTTTTCAACAAAAACGAATAATCGAAATCGTTTCACAAATAATCGGTTTACGAGTAATCGCGTAACATACAAACACAAAAAAATACAGTCGAATTGAGGACTTCCTCCGTTGTCCGTACCGGCAAACACAATGATATGAGCCAGGCGTGTTGATACAGTCATGCTGGCACCGATTAGGGTCCTCCGAACACTCGTCTATATCTTCGCAATGCGACTTGATGGTGGACTGCGCGTAGCCCTCGTCGCATACGCATTGGTAAGTGCCCATCTGGTTCTCGCACACACCGTTGCTGCAGATGCCTGGAACAGCCATTTCAATGTACAAGTCAATACAAAGCTATTCGGAAAGTTTTTCACCAAACCCATCCTGTATCTACTACCTGCAATTTTTGCCTGCGTTTATTCGATTATCTGCTTCATAACAATATCTAACTCGTGTAATATTAGCTTCGGGGAGACTTTTTGTGACGTGGAAACGCGGAAAAGACAACAATTGTCCCCTTCACCAGGAGACGGAAACTAGACAAACTAATAGAACCAATTCTTGGTGGCAAGGCTGTGGGCTTTTCCGCAGTAGTCAAATATCAAGGGATAACTCTAGATCAAACCCTAAGGTGGAACCACCATATCGCTAACACGATCAACAAGGCCAAGATGGCCTTAGGTATCTGTAGCCGTATGGCGGGACAGCGTTGGGGTCTAAAACCAAAGATGACTCTCTGGTTATATAAGGCAATTGTGAGGCCCATAATGACTTACGCCTCTGTTGCTTGGGGTGCTAAGTCAGCCAAACAACCACAATTGTCACATTGGGAAATCTACCACACCCTGGGGCAGCCCTAAATGCATTGCTGAACCTGACTCCTGACTCTGATTTATTCATACAGAGGGTGGCCAGTACCAGCATATACAGGCTTACCACTAGGTTAAGGAGTAGATGGCTCTCCCAGACATTGGGATCAGCCCAAGACTCAATTCTGGAACACTCTGTTCTGGGATTGTCTTCTGATGTCATGCTTCCCAAACAAAACTTTAAAAAACTCTACCATGTAGAATTTCCAACTAGGGAGGACTGGGAAACTAACAGTCTCACCTGGATGAACGGTAGCCTTCTATGGTATACCGATGGGTCTAAGATGGGACCCAACGTAGGCTGTGATATATACGGTGTGAGACCCAGGCTGTACTAGCCTCAGTCACCCAACATCGAGGATTGTAAAGAACTGTGTAAATATACTGAACACTCTCGGGGAAAGTAATACAGTGGTACTGCGCTGGGTTCCTGGCCACTCTGACATCGAGGGTAATGAGTCAGCGGATAAACTGGCAAAGGCTGGTGCTAGAGAAACCTTTATTGGACACGAACCCTTCATAGCAAAGCTCACTCTGCTAAATGAGAGCACACACCTCTCCCGAGAAGTGTGGTTACAGAACAAGGGTCTTGAGCATTCAAAAGCCCTGATATCTGCCTACAGTGCCAAACACTGTAGAGAAGCTCTGTCATTGGACAGGAATGGCATAAGAATGCTCACTAGAGCCTTAACAGGGCATTGTGGCTTAAACAAGCACAAGTCAAATATTGGGCAGAGAGAAAATAGAGAATGTAGATTCTGCCACACAGAGGATGAAACTCCTGTTCATCTACTTACCCAATGCTACCCCCTGATGGGCGTACGAAGTTCCGTACTGGGAAGGCACATGCCACAACTAGAGGACATTAAATCTGTCGGAGCCAGGAAAGTCCTTCAGTTTTTCAATGCTGTCGGCCTTGGCTTTGCACTGTAATTAGCGGTGATCACAACAGATCAGTCAATGGCCGCAGTGATGTGGGGATGCATAGGCCCTGAATGCAGCCACCCTAATAATAATAATATCTTGTTTCTTTTTGTTGAAATGACCGGCGAACTACGGTCTAAACTCTTGTTGATGGATGATGTACGAGTATAATGGAAATTTCTTTTTGAAAAAAAATATAATTAGTTGTCGGATATTTGGATATTATTTTATACCTAAAGTTCACTTTTTACCGTGAATTGCAGTCGAAATATGGAAGCGGCTTCTTAAAATACATAAGATTTTGGCTTCCTATAAACTAGGAATACAATAAGCGAATTTAAATACTGTGAACGGCTAGAAGTGTCAATTTTAAACTTAAACGATGGTAACGATGGTTTCGGTAAGAAAATCGTTAAAGTTTTTACATTTTTCACTAGAAAGTTAATATTTGTGACACGGATTCTATAATTTGTGACAAATAATATTTTCAAACGTTGATTTTCTTTCGCTTTTATTTAATAATTCCATCAATTCCGGTATCGCAGAATTTTTTCGACACCAAATCGCTTTCCCTTAGTGAGCAGGCAAGCAATAGAATTTTGTATAAATAAGTATCCGATTACCCGACCACAAATTATAATCCATTTGAGCAATAAGTTACCGGAGGTAATGGAGCACTCATCGATGTCTTTGCAGGAAAGGCGGTCAGGCGCGAGTTCCATTCCTGGTCCACACTCACAACGATACGACCCAGGCGTGTTAACGCAACGGCCGTTATGGCACAAACCGTGATCTTCCGAGCATTCATCAATATCTATAACGACGTTAAAACTATATTAATAAGGTCAAAGATGCCACAAAAATTGTGCTCCGTATTTTTAATTTAAGTAAACATTGCTAACTAACCCACGCAAACCTTGGAGAGCGTAACACGGTGCCCCGCCCGACAATGGCAAGCGAAACTGCCGTCGGTGTTGCGGCAGTCACCTGCACCGCACACGTCGGACACGATTTCACACTCGTTCACGTCCACACATGTGTGATTCTTCGAATCCTACAACACACAATAAATGATAAACAGTATCAGTTTCATAATCTCCGATTATACTACCAGATAATATATGCTACCAAAGAATTCAGAATTATTTTGGTCATGTTGCTCGCCGACTACCAGACAACCTTGACAAACTGGTTGTGATGGGCAAAGTGGAAAAAAAGAGACTCCGCGATCGAACACCTAGCCGTTGAGGTACCCAAGCGACCACCCTCACTGACCTCCCAATAGCAACTGCCCTGAGCGAAGCCGAAAACAGAACCAGAACAAAGGAAATCGTCCATTAAATCTCGACCAATTTACGGGGACAGACCTTCAGCAATGAACAATATGACTGAGAAGCATCTCAGATAGTGGTTTGGCACTAAAATATTTTTTCTACTAACAGTTAGTAGAACAATTTATCAATTTCCAATTTCCATAGATATTTTACATTTGTTTCAAGATGACAAGTCAAAACTGAAAATTCTACATTTGAAAAAAACAAATGTCAAGATCATATGAACTCACTTTCTCATATCCAGGGAAACATTCGCAATCGAAAGTGCCCATCATGTTCTTGCAGTGTCCATGTCCACATAAACCAGGGAAAGCAGAGCACTCGTTAACATCGATAACTTTAGGTCCAGGGAAATGAGGTTTCACGACATCCCCGTCCGTCTCATTGTAATCGGGAAAATTACGAACATTAGGCCAAATGGTGCTGTTACTGATATCAACTTCACCGATGGGCGGTAAATTAATTACACAAAGAGTGCGGAAGGCGTCCGTTCCTGAAAAAGGAAAGTTTTTATAAGTTAAACACTGACGTCTTCTGTAGGATTAAGCTGTCAATCAAACAGCAGATGTGAAACGATTAATAGGCTCAGATGTTATTTTGTGGAATTAAATGTTAATAGTAGAGAGTACTAAAAAGCCGTCCTCAAAAATCATTCATCCCCTAGTTTGCCACCCTTAGAATGGAACATTTTCTTCAAATTTAAATGGCACCACATCTTTTCAACAAAAGAATCATCAAAATCGGTTCACAAATTAAGTTATCGCGTATGTATGTATGTTATACAAAAAAAACATACAGTCGAATCCTCCTCCTTTCGTCGGTTAAGTCGGTTAAAAAACAGAAGTAAATTTATTTGCGATAAACGATGGCTATAAATATGACAAACCGTTTTGAATGAGCCAACGACTTCTATCTATAGACAAGAACATTCACAACAATTACATGTTCCAAACAAAACATTATAAATAGTGATAGTGTTTTGTTTTAGTGTTGAATTTTGACAAATAGTATCAGTACTGTAGTACCGTGACAGTCTATACCTATGGAGAATGAGCTAGACAGGCAGATAATATTGAGAGTTTACCAATGATATTTATGCATAGTTGGAGAACTGACGTAAAGTCCCTAGCAAAATAGCTATTAGTTGCAAAATACATTTCATTTTGCTTTGACCCAGGGGCTATTCGCTTACTATTTACAATTGTTATAAAACTAAAAAAAAAATTGGTAAAAGAAAAACAGTAGTACAGTCGAGTTGTTGAAATTATTATTGTTATGTAATTTTTCGCGGAAAAGCAAAGATCTTTAGACTATCCAGCCTAGTCAAGTAGACATCGTTGAGCCTAGTATATTTTTATATTTTTAAATTTATATGGTAACCATATTTATATTATAGTCCGTTTTTAGTGAAGATGGAAAAATTTGACAATTCGTTGCGCAAAAGTGTTGCCCGTTCTCAAGTAGCTAGTGATTGCAGTCGATAAATATGAATGAATGAATGAATGAATTATCGACTGAATATTGGTTACGCTTACGCAATGATTGTCCGAACTTGTTAAATTTGAATTATCATCGGCCCATTATTCGTGCCACTGCTGGGCTACTATTGCTTTTATTTTTTTTTATTAGAAATTAACATTGAAAAACGTAAAAAACTGTATAATAAAAATAACGTCATCTTTACTTATGCTGGTAATTGGTATATGCGAGTCGTTATTATATTACTTATTATAGACAAAAGTAGCTACTAAAATTTAAACAAATAAATAAATTGCCGCACGGGCACAGCGGGCCGGCAGAATTTGCCGCATTCGACTACCACTCTTTGGCTTGTTCGGATGTGCTCACTTGCGCTCGCGCTTATTACGTTTCTTTTGTTAGTTCACGTTATTGTTTTCTGTTATCGTGTTAAGTTTTTGTTAAGTTTTTTTTTGTTACTGTATTTGTTGCGTATTGCATCGCAATATGGACAACCCAGGACCATCCACTTCGGGCATTTTATCGCCTCGAAAGAAAAGACAACGTATTGCTCTCAGTACTACTGAGAAGATGATGACGGAGAATGTATATAAATACATTGTTCAGGAAGAAAACAAGGGTTGCGATCCAAATCTTTTAGAAGCTGCCAGTAAAACAGAATGTGCTAAAAAAACGGCTGACATTCTGGGCATTTCAAAATCAACTGTTTATACAGTTCTAAAAGAAAAATGCGAAAATATGAACTTTCAGCCCCCTAAACCGAAAGGCAGGCGAAAAAGCTACATAGAAAAATTCGATGAATTCCATTTGGAGGCCATAAGACGCAAGGTTCATCAATTCTTTTTCCGAAACGAAGGTCCAACTATTGCCAAGGTAATCATTCGCAAATCAATATTCACTTTGGCAGATTATTTAAATAACTTGCTGTAGTTGTTTAGGTGGAGTCATTTGCCTGTCAGGTATAATAAAAAAAAATAAAAAAATAAAAAAAAAGGTGCAGAAATCTTGGCGTAAGACGTGTTTGTCAATTAAAGCTATAATTACAGTCAAATTGCGTAATTCGCACCAGAGATGGGCCAGCACTCGGGTTTTTCGGAGTTAGTTTGGGCACAGGTAAAGGGGCACGTCGCAAGAAATAACAAAATTTTAAAATGAATGAAGTTAAAATATTGCTTGGAGAAGGGATAACTAATGTAACGCCACAAAAGTGGAAAAATTGTGTAGACCACGTTATCAACGATGTCGAAACGAAAATGCGCCAACTCGACCATTTAATTGACGACGTATGTGATACATTTATTATACATGTATCGGATTCCGACGATACCATTACCTCGTCTAACACAGAAGAGATTTAATTTCGAATTAAAAAAAATGTATATGAAACACGTATATATACATTTGTTTCGTAATTTGTGAATCCGCCCAGTGTACATTATACATATTTAATTTTAAGTCAACATTTGAATTGTAGATTTTATAAGTACATTTGAATTGTAAAATTTATAAGTACATTTGAATTGTCAACTTTTGTAAGTTCATCACATCTATTAAAAATCAAAAAGGGAAATTTTGTGGTTTTTCATTTTAATTCAGTATAGATAATCAAATCCAACTATCATTATTAAAAATGTATATGAATAAAAACGAGTTCAGGTGGTATTGTACATAGTCTACAATAGGGCAATAATTTGAACGTGCGTCTGTAGATACTTTACGAATTGATTTTGATACTCGCGGGCCAAACGTCAAAATAAGAGTAAAGACGGCGATAACGCAATTACTAATCATTAGAATGTTATAAGTCTCACAATTCATACATTTTTTGGAAACTATTATCATCTTTCCAACCTATCGATAAATCCATCGACAATAGCTACATGACTATTTAAAATTTTACGAAAACTGGCAACCCTGCAAATGTCAAATTTTTCCATCTTCAATAAAAACGGACTATAATATAAATCATTTCAATTCAATTCAATTCATTTATTCATTCGTTATTACAGGTACATGATATAGATGATAATAATAATTTTATGGAATCTCTGCAATAAGCCAAAGTGGCATACGAAGTCAATTAAATAAAAATGTAATGTCAAAATAAAAAAAATGTATACAATGTCAAAAAACTAATAATAATTAAAAAGTCTAAAAATATTAATAACTAAATGGTACCCAACTGTCAGCATTTACCTATTCTAAGAAACTATCATTGAAATATTCTCCTATGCTATAGTAACATTTGTCAATTAATAATTGTTTTAATACATGCTTGAATTGCATTCCACTAAGATTTTTTATTGCGTCTGGAATTTTATTAAATATTTTGGGTGCCATATCAACAACGCTATTTTTGTATAGGGCCGTTTTACATATATTTCTTCGGACCATATATTTCCTGGTACGAAATAAGTGCGCTTGTGAACTTACTTTTTCTGGGAATTCACTCAAGTTCGTCTTAACAAAAATAGATGCCTCAAAGATGTACGACATGGGAAGGTTAATAATTTTAGGTCACGGAAAAATGATCGGCAACTGTCAGTGTATTTAATGTTGCATATGGCTCTGACACATCGCTTTTGGGCTCTAAATATAGTTTCTCTGTAGGTAGAGTTGCCCCAGAAAATAACACCATACCTAAGGATAGATCCAACAAAGCCGTGGTAAGCCATTACCACAGTTCGGCGGTCCGCAGTTTTCGACAATTTGTAGAGTGCATAGCTAAGCGTGTATAGTTTTGCACAGACCTGTTGCGAGTGAGTTTTAAACGACATGTCCCTATCTAAAGTTATACCTAAAAACTTCGTTACATTTACTTTTCCTATAACATCGTCACCACATTTCACTTTTAGGTTAGGTAGAGTCATTCTCTGATTAAAAAACATAATTTTAGTTTTATTTGTGTTGACTTTTAGGTTGTTATTATTCTAGTTATATCCACGTAGTCAGATGGTCAAGAGTAGAGTTTATCTCGTTTAGATAATAATTGTGGTCACCGCTTGTATTTTCAATAATTACGGTGCTATCATCAGCAAATAGTATCATTGGATAACCACAGCTGCTGGGCATGTCATTTATATACGTTAGGAATAGAAGAGGTCCCAATATGCTACCTTGCGGAACACCATGCTCTACAACTCTACACTTTGATTTGTACTGCTTGACCCAACCGCTGTTGATACATACTTGACTTAGCTCTGTGTACTGCTGTCTGTTGTGAAGATATGATTGAATTAGGTTCAGAGCAACTCCTCTTACTCCGTAATTATTTAATTTTTCTAGCAAGACCTTATGCTCTACAGTCTACATGATCAAACGCCCTGGACATGTCCATGAATACTGCACAGGTAGGAATTCTTTGGTCTAGTTTCGTTACAGCCCTACGTGTTAAGTCATAAAATGCTTTATTTATTAACATATTTTTTCTAAATCCTTTTTGCTCAGTGATAATAATCTTGTGCTTTTCTAGGAACGAATACGAAGGAGTATAAATTGTTCTGTATAACTTTTTCAAAAATTTTGGAAAATATTGGAAGTAAAGCCACAGGTCTGTAGTTGCTAATATTTTCCGCGTCTCCCTTTTTGTACAAGGGCATAAGTTTTGCAAACTTTAAACTGTCAGAAAACTCCAGAGATAAGACTCAAGTTAATTATGTGACATAATGGTAGAGCAATGGAATTAGCCACATATTTTACAGGTATTGTGCAAATATCGTCATAATCTACACTATACGTATTTTTTAAAGATAATATAATTTTTAAAATGCCATTACGTATAGATGGATAAATAAATATTGAATTCGGATTTATTTTAATATTTATGGGATTACTATGGTCACTGTTATTGGAGGCTATTTGGTCTAAGAAATAGTTGTTAAACTCAGTAGCAATTTCCAAAGGATCTGAATAACATCGATTATTATAATTAATTTTAGCAATAGGCTCTTTGGGATAACAACACTTACCACGATTAATTATCTGCCAGGCTGCTTGGCATTTGTTTTGAGAGTTACATATGAATCTATTGTTGTGACTGCGCTGCGTATTTTGAATAATTCTTTTAAGCTTTTTCGCATAAGATTTCAGGCATTCTAGATTTCTGGTGCTTTTATTCTTTCTGTATTTCCACAGTAGATTTCTTTTGTGTACAAACCCTTTTTTATGCCACGTGAAATCCATTTTGGCTTTTCTTTGAAGCATTTTTTAAAACTTTGTGTGGGAAACATAGATCATAAAATAATCGGAATAAGCTCAAGAATTACTCGTATGCCGTATTTACGTCATTGCATTGAAATATTTCACTAAAGCTCAATTTTTCAATGCATTCCTTAAATTTAATTAGGTTTGCTTTAGAAAAATCCCGGGTCCTAACTCGCCAGGTTTTAAGTATGCAGGTTTTTTTTACTGGACATACTAATAATTGAGCTGTGTGATCAGATAGAGTTGTGTCGATGACTTCAGCTTTAGCTCCTCGTATGCAGGAAGCAAAATTATCTATACATGTTCTACTACATAAACGCGTTGGGTCAAATAACATTAGTTTCAAATTATGACTAGCAAGGAATGAAATGTTTTTGAAGTCTCTACTTTTTGTATTATTTTGCATTATATCAATGTTGAAGTCACCACACACGATAACAGGCTTATTTATCTGTTCACAGAGATTTGTTAAAATTCTATCTAGTCGTTCAAAAAACAGGCTTAAACTGGAAATCATATTTTACGTACTCTGTTATTGTATAGTCAGAACACGTTGTTGATTATTAATCTATTATTTTTATTTTGTCTTGGTTTAACATGCGTCATTATATGCTTGCAAAATGAGCTGGATAGTGTGACATTTTATACACTATTTCGCATTTATCAAATATTACAATGCACAATTTAATCAAAAACCACAACAATTTAAATTTATGTTCACACAATTAGTCAAATACCGAAATGTGAGCAATACACCGATGTAAATTAATATTTAAAGAGGACCGCATCTGCGTCCGCCATCTTGAATGTTTGACAACCAACTAAATGATGTGCAGCGTCTTCGCCGCACATCAGTGAAAAACAGCGTGTGTATGGAACGCCGCATCTAATACGCTAATACAAAGATGTCATTGGAGCGAGCTCATAGCTCAGAGTTCAATAATCGACGACACTGAGGATGCTTCGTAGAGGCGAAATACGTGTTGAGAATGTTTTTAACCGACTTTAAAAAAGATTCGACTGGATTTTATTTTTGTACGTATGTTACGCGATTTAGATGATTATTTTTTTGTTGGAAAGAAGATACCTCAGTATGGGTTCCTTTTAAATTTGAACAAAATATTCCACTTCTAAGGGTGGCAAACTAGGGGATAAACCCGGTTTTGTACACTTTCCGGTAACATAGGTCAATAAAACTTAGCAAATAGATCTAATTTCATAAACTTTTGAGGTCTTATTTATATAAAAAAGTTATTAGCAGTGATATTTGTCACTGATTGATTTTGAAATTTAAGAGAAAAAGTTACACGTAAATGTATTACAATTAACATACGATCTTGTACCTAGTGTTATTTTTAGACTAACGTCTAACAGTAGTTAAACGTTAAGAATACGGTTAAACGCATTATTTGCCTTAATCCTCTTCATATGAAGTGCAGTGACATTTTTACAAATTGAATTTGGCGTCAAGAACGGTACCGAGGTAACGGATGCACTTGTTACATGGGACACGATGGACATTATCTGTTTTAAGTTTTCTTTTTGTCACAGAGCACTTCGGAGGTCTTCCCCATCACTAAACTGATTTTCAACCGACGCATCGAGATCGACAAAGCGTGTGACAGCTAAAGGAGCGCGCACGCAAATGTTTTTGTGAATGAATTTGAGACTGTAGTTGCGCTGGTGTTATAATAGTTCATTAATTATATAAAAACAAAATATTAGACAACATCACATACGTTGCTCTCATCCAATGAAATCTAAGTAAGTAACTAAAGCACTTGTAGGAAATGAAACTATTTTTCCGGATTTAAATCGCAATGTTTTTTCAAACAAACCGACGTTTCGGGCCCTTTACATGTCCCATGGTCACGGTTGACTGAGGTGGTACAGTCTTCAACCAGTTATGTCTAATATTGATGCAATCCACCCTAATAAATCGGTTTGTTTGAAAAAACAAATATACGCGATTTAAATCCGGAAAAGCAGTTTCATTTCCTATGTGTAACAATCGCGAAAACCTAAGAACTCGATAAAGCACTTGTGTTATGGAAATCGGAAACAACGACTGTACGACACACCCAGAGCCGAGACAATATAGAAAAATTAGTTTCTACACTGACCCGGCCGGGGATCGAATCCGGGACCCCAGAGATGGCGACACCATGAAAACCGGTGTGCAAGCCACTCGACCACTCAGGCCGTCATATGTGCGTCAATTATATGCGGAGGGAGAGTGGTGAAATTCATGCAGTAAATGAAAAAAATATGCATCACAATCGCAGCGTTTACACGATTTAGCCTTCATTGGATTTGCGGAGTAGCAAATTAATTTACTTCCGAAACGAACATATCGATCAAAAGCATCATAACTTTTGCAGAACAAAGTTACCATCACTTAACAATGTAAGTAACGCGATGTACCTTTCTTGGGGCAAGGTTCACAACGGTGGTCGCCCCAGGCCTTGCCGAGGGCAGAGCAGCAACATACCGACCGATGTACCTCTGAAAGTAGCGGCCCGGAACATCGACCACTCATGTACTCCGTGTAGCATTGTTCACGACGCGTGTCCATGCAGCGGTTGCCTACAATACCAGATTAAAAATAACCGAGGAAATGTCAGGCAGACAACAATTAAGATAAATAATTATTATTGAAGCTAGTAGAAGTATAAATTTGTAGAAAGCTATCTACATAGTATAACTATCATCATAGTATTCTCACCAGTAGAGTCTAAAGTAAGCCCATGAGGGCATTCGCACTGGTACGATCCGTCGGTGTTAATGCACTTGCCGCCAATGCACAACTCAGAGTCCAATGAGCACTCGTCCACGTCACGACATGTCGTGCCGTCCAACTGTAAATTTACAGACATGTACAGCTACTAACTGTATATAGAATGTCACACAGCTATGGGACATGCAGGGAAAGTGCTTTAAATATTATAGAAAGATTACATTATTTTGCTTCATGAATATATTGGTTAATCTGTTAGTCCGCAAGAATATCTTTATAAATAAATAAATATTATTTTATTTTTAAAAGTGAGTAACATTGCTTTTTTCAAACAATGCTAAGAAATAATACTCGTAAAAGACTAAAGAATGCAGTAGAATGTATAATAGAAAAAGAAAAACAAGTTTTCCATGACAAATTTTGCTTCTTGTTGTAAATTAGGCAGAGTACGGTCTATTATTGTATTTTCAGTTTTTCCGCAAAGAAAATATAAAAAATACAAAGCAATAGATTAACAAAATATAACTTCAAAGTATGCCCACGTGGTTTTTCATTACATTATCGCCATATGGATTGTTCACGTCAAGATTAAGCAAAAAGTTTTTATTGGTACTCCAAAAATCTGAACATATGGTTCATATAAACTTGAAGTATAACAAAAACTAAACATTTGCAATATAACTACTGTACCGTTTACTATTTAAAAAAAAGAAAAAGGTAAAGTAAACCAAAATGATCCAGTATTATTTTCTGTTTCTTCGTCTTTTCTTGTATTTTCGTCGCGAAAATTAGTTCTAGTGAGAAGAGCGATAACAAAAATACAGTAATGGATAGTACTCTGTCTTAAATTAGCAAGAGGCAATATTAAACATGAAATCTGTTTGGCGGCTATGAGCAAAGTAAGATCATGAAAACTTATGAAATTTTCATGCATTGGAGAACCACATGAACCATACTATCAGAAGTTACTACGCCTCAGCGGCTACGGGGATTGCATTATTTTGTAAATCATGCTCGTCCAGCAATCCCTTACTTCCGGCATCTGCAATAATGTACTGTAGCACAGCTGGTATGTTATGTACCTTAGCGTATCCTCTGACACAGGGGCAGTCGCTCTGGTCGCAAGGCATGCAAGGCGAACCCCAGGCTAGCCCCAAGCCGCAACAGCACTCCTGCCTGAGCAGAGCGTGCGGCGCCGCCGACTCGCACGTACCATCCACCACGCGTCGCCAGCACGATCCGCGACGGTTGTCTAAGGCACATTTACGCTAGTGTTATGATGAGACAAATATCACAGTATATAACGTACACACTCAACATAGCCCCGCACTAGGGAAACCCTGTGTCGCGGGTGCCATGGACACACACGTAGACAACCACAAATTACACCCAAACTCACGAGAGAAATAAATGTAGGCCATACAAATATTTATTAAGTATATATATAGTAATAGTGCTTGGAAGAGTCTTGGCTTCATCAAACGGCAGTCTAAGTTTTTTGACCATCGACAGGCAATTTGTAATTTATATAACGCCTTTGTTCGAAGTAAATTGGAAGCTACATGCGCAATGTGGAATCCCGCAATAAACTCTATATAGCAATGTTAGAACGAATCCAGAAATCATTTTTGAGGTATTTGTATAGTAAACTCTATGGGTACTATCCTTATATGTACCCTACACCCTTTATTTTGGGCATGCTGTCGTACAGATCGCTTGAGATCAGGAGAAAACTGGCGCTACTAAAATATATTTTCAACCTAATACGAGGATGTATAATTAACCCTCGTCTATTGGCTCAAATTCCTTTTTTTATCCCGCCAATCTCACTCTACGTCCTTCGTCAGCGCAAATACCCGCTATTCAATTTTCATTTGATCCGCACAGTGACACTAATACGGACACCATTCTTCGAAGCATTGGCCACAATTGAATCGTTAAGCAAAACAAATGATATTGACGTGTTCAGCAACACTGAAACAAAATTTCTAACATCCGCTGGTTACTATTTGGAGGCGGTCACCGCCCAAAGCTCTGTGGTCCAAATTCCGCTTCCTATCTTTGGCCGGTGATCGACTCAACCTTTTTTTTTTGTGACCTTTTTTGTGACTATGACTTACATGTTTAGTTATAAGTACTGTACTACATAAATTAATAAATAAAGTATTTCAATCCAACAGTGTCATTTTTCACTTCAAATAAATTGCGTAATGATACCGAATTTCCGTAGGCTTTGGGGCGTGTGAGGTAGACGCGGAGAAACTCAATACATAACATTTAAACATTTGCCTTTTATAAATAAAATATTATTTCATCACACTTGCACGTAACTAGCATGATTGTATGCAGGCCAACGTGACTATAATGCCCCAAATAAAACCCTCGAGCTTTTTCTTCGTTACCGATCATGGGTATAATAAGAAGAAAAAAGGCCCAAAGGTTTTATTTGGGGCATTATAGTCAAGTTAGCCTGCATGCAATCATATTATTTACGTGAAAGTGTAATGAAAAACATTGTATATTTCACGGGGGATGCGGGAATTACGATCTCGATTCCGAAAGCCCCCAGTATTCGACTTCGGAATTCTAATAGTTTCGTTCGTAATTCCTTTATATGTAAAACAAGCTCATAGTCTTGTGACGTATTTATTACGGAACACGGTAGAGGAAATTCCAATGAAATATCCCTGATAACAATAGACTAAAACTGATTTTTCTGTAGTAAAAAAATGAAATTTTGCTGAACTTCGTGATTTTTTTACCAATCGAAGTTTAGTCAATCATGTTTCGGGCCCCGTACTTAATCCACTACTGGTAGTTTCTGTTTCCATTATTAATTAAATAAACAAGTTGAATTCGTATTTTTGTATGTCGAAAAATCGACTGTCTGTGTGGTCAAAATACGTCAAAATGTCTACTTTGGGTTTCTTAAGCCTTAAACTTAAACCTTAAGATAGATCTTTTATCTACTTACCGATACAATGAGTAGCGGTGGAGTCTAGAACGAAACCGTGTTCGCATTCGCATTCATAGCTTCCGTGCGTGTTGATGCAGCGCCCATTATCGCACGGGTTGTCCAGCTCTAAAAACAACAGTAGTTATGTTTACATTAAAAACCTAAAACGTCGTAGTTTTTGTTTATTCTTAATACTTTAATAAATAAATTTCCAAAAACTTGTATATTTTGTTTCTCCCACAATTTCTCTTCAATATTCAGTATTTTTCAAAACCCTTTTTGTGGCCCTTATTAAACCTAGGTTGCTCAAAAAATTGTAATAAATAATAATTAAACACAATGTTTTCTAGTTTCGCTAGCTTTAATTATCATTTGGTATTGATTCACCCTTTTGACTAATCTTAATAAGAGGAAAAACAAAAATGGGTGTAATTAAACTAATTTAAGGTAAAAATGTATAAAAAGTAATTAATTCAGTATCGACAAAATAAACTTATTTTTAAACTTAGATAGATTTTTTATCGTGTATACTTTAATTGTGTGTGATCCAATCTCCGGTAAAAATTGATTTAGTAGATTAATTAAATAAATTAATAATGTATAAGTAAAAATTAAGCAGTGCAATGAAACTGATATGCGTGACTCATTCATGTTATATTGTAGTAACTGTGAATATTGTAAAACTTAAGTAATAATTATTCAGCTTATGAAATTGCGCGACAGTTTATGGTATGAATTAAAGATTTAAATAGTAGGTACTTACCTACTGTATTTCTGCACAGCTTAAGGCAACAATTACAAAACTTTTGGATGGACAATGTGTGGAACATTCCAGATAATGTATTCATCCCCCATATTGTGTATCTATGTAATCAATAGGCGAATGATCGGTCACAAAATGTTATGTCTAGTAGTCAGTGTTAAAATGCCGATGCTATGGTATTATCGAATGGCAGTCGTGGCACCAATTGCTAAGTAACCTGTGTGGACGGGGAGGAGGGGGGGGATGTCTCCGCGGTCATACTCTTCGTATATGATCTCACCGGCGCATTCGTCGACGTCGCGGCACAGCTGCGCGGCGGGATCATGCACAGTGCCCGGCGGGCAGACGCACGAGAAGCTGCCCATTGTGTTGCGGCACTGCCCGCCGTGGCAGTACTGCCGACAACAGCCACACATTTGATAACGTTCAAAGTACTTTCATGTCTTCAACATATTATATGTAGTTGGCTATAATCGCTACATTATACGTTTAACAGTTATTTATGTTGCAATATTTATTTTATTGAATATCATATTTTGCCACAATGGTAGTCATATAGGTTTTGTGAAAATACTCCACTAGTTTGCTATTATTATTGATATAAATATCGATCAAACACAAACAAAAAATCTTCCGATCTCACTAGACACGAACCAACGTCTGTTACCTGGTCACGGTTAGGCAACAGACGCTGGTTCGAGTCCAATCAGATTTAAAGATTTTTTCTGCGTTTATTCAACCTTTGTATCAATCGCCGTTAATTATTATTTATTCATAGGAAATGAAACTATTTTTCCGGATTTAAATAGCGTATATTTGTTTTTAACAAACCGACGTTTCGGGCCCTTTACAGGTCTCATGGTCACGGTTGACTGGGACATGGGACCTGTAAAGGGCCCGAAACGTCGGTTTGTTTGAAAAAACAAATATACGCGATTTAAATCCGGAAAAATAGTTTTATTTCCTATGTGTAACAATCGCGAAAACCTAAGAACTCGATATTATTTATTCATTTGGAAGATAAACAACTGAACACCGAACTAAAAAGCCGTGGTAGCCTAATGGTCAACCTACCTCCTCTAAAACAGAGGGGTTCGAATCCTCTGAGTTTTTTGGAATTTATGTGCGAAATTTAATTTGAAATTTACGATGAGCTTTTCGGTGAAGAAGAAGTCGTGATGAAACGTCGAAAGTTCACAACCCTTTTAAGACATGTATAGTCCCCAACCGACCAAGGCAGACCATGGCCTAAACCATCGCCTGAGAGGAGACCCCAGCCCGTGGGCCCAGCAGTGAGATTTATAAATGAATTCATGACGAAACAACTGAACAACAGTTATAGATCCTGACATAAGAAGAAAAACGCAGTTATAAGTCTCACTATGAATGAAATAATATGACTAAGTGATAATTTGTTCGCCAAACTAAGTCCTATTTTCCAAATTTTATTCAGAAATACTCACCGACTGATGCATTTCGCACTCGTCAATATCCTGACAATTACCGTTCTCGTCTATATGAAAACCAAGGTCACAAAGACATCTGAAGCCCGGATTCAAGTTCTCGCATGTTCCATGTGTACATATGCCTGGCGTTTGCTTGCACTCATTTATGTCCGCGCCGTTGTTGTCCTTGCCCCGTCCATTAGGGCAGAGAATTTTAAATTCCTTAGAGTCGTGAGCGGGACAGGCTTTGCAGGACATACCCCAGCCCAGTTGAATTCCTGTAATCGACAAACTTGCAGTGAATCTTTGAAAAATTAACGTATAATAACGCACAGTCATAGCCCCGCACTAAAGGAACCCTGTATCGCGCGTGCCATACACACACATAGATAACTACAACTTACACCCGAGCTGACGAGAAAAATAAATGTAAGCCATACAAATATTTCCCCCAACCCGGGAATTGAACAAGGGAACTCTGCGTGGCAGATCATCATAGTAACCGCTCGGCCACGGAGGCACTTTTATTAGTATTCTTTCACAAAAAAATTTAAATTTCTTACTATTACAAGGGTTAGTATAAATCCATTGATTTGCGTTAGTTCACACAAAATTATTGGAATTGGGACAAAAACTACTTATCTACGTCTACAAAAACAAGTGTAGATAAAAAAAACTGTTGGCTTGGAAACTAACAAATAACAATTTTTGTAGTGCTTTCCTTGTGATCATAGAAGCATATTATATTATTCCATGTAATTATAGGCAAAACTCTATTCAAAATTGATTTCTTTCTTGACGATTACCTTTGGCAGCAGAACAACAACACTCTGACCGTGTCATTGGAGCGTCACCGGGCCCTAAGCATCGGCCGTCTTCATATTTCTCGTAACACAAATCTTGCATCTCATCTGAAAGCAATACAACAAATTATGACTTATAAAAAAACTATGTTAAAACGGAACGAAATACTTTCTCTAGGCACCAGTATTTTGTTTTACTCGTACATTACCGGTCCGCCATATTGTTTTTGTAAGGGGAACATTCCTGCTACATTACCTGGTCTTCCAGCAGGAATAATTTTCCCTCTCCCAGCGCTGGTAATGCAACTTGGTTACGTACTGGTAACACGGGACCAAAACTTTAAGACATGTACCCACTTTAGATCACGCATTTCCAATCTATATCCACCAATCCATCAAAATCTTTTCTTATTACCCGTTTTTATAACACATTGGCGTTTTATATCGTTCATTTTCTTCACAATTTATACAGTGTGTTTTTTTAACGGAGACAGTACGGCAAAATCTGAAACTGTAAGAGATACAGGGAAACTGTCTTAAGAACCATTAAGTTTTGTTTGTTAAACAATTTTGGCATAATAAATATTTCAGTCAAGCGCGACTCTTCCGTAAAAATGACTAAAATTTACTTTTTTTTGTACTGATCGACTCAGTTTCATGGAAGGATCATTTCATTGGTATTGAACGAAACAAATTTTAATAAATGCCACTGTCCCGATTTTTTCATCCAATACAATGAAATGATCCTTATATGAAACTGAGTCGACCAGCACTAAAAAAAAATAAATCAATAAAACTGATTTTTATGGACAACTCATACTTCAGTATAAATTTACTATGCCAAAATTGTTTTCACAAAAAAAAAGACTTAACCGTAACCATGGGATCTGTAAAGGGCCCGAAACGGCGATTTGTTTGAAAAAACAAATATACGCGATTTAAATCCGGAAAAATAGTTTCATTTCCTAAAAGACTTAATGGTTCCTAAGACAAATTTCCTGTATTTTCTATGATTTCGGATTTCCCCATTGTGTTCCAGTTAAAAAAACGCACTGTATATCTTTGTACCAACCGACACAAGTCCTTCCATCGGAGCTGAGTGAGAAACCATCGCTACACTCGCATCGGAAAGAGCCGGGTGTGTTATGGCAGCGGCCGTTGCGACACACGCGTGCCTCAGAGCACTCGTCGACATCGACGCAGGCGCCGCGATCCGCCGTCGGCCGATAACCTGACTCACACACGCATTGGAACGAGCCTTCGCTGTTCACGCATCGACCGCCCTGTAACGAATTATTTATTCATTGTTCAGTTTCGAAAAAAAGTTTACTTTAATCCACTTTTATTAAGATATTTCAAATAATCGTTGGATTTTTTTTTAAATAAGCGCGCATTTAGCCTCCATCTTACCTGGTGGAAAGTAACGATGAGGTCGACAATGGAGCATGTTCAGCATATTCAGTTTCATATAGAAAAATCCAAAGGTATAGCGTTCAGGGAACAATTCCGCAGGCAGGGGATTTCACTCCATAGCCTATCGCCGGTTTTTAACCGACTTAAAAAAAGGAGGAGTTTGTTTTTTTATTTTTTTGTATGTATTTTACTCGATAACGCTTTGTGAACTGATTTTGATGATTCTTTTTTTTTTGTTTGAAAGCTCAGGGTACCTCAGTATTGGTTCCATTTAAATTTGAAGAAAATATTCCACCTCTAAGGGTGGCAAACTTTACTGACTCACCTGACAAACCGACCGTCCTTCACACTCATCGACATCGACACAATAACCTCCCGCGGAGTTGATGTACCCCAGATCGCACTGGCACTCGTACGAGCCGGGGGTGTTTCGGCAGCGGCCGCGGCGGCATACACGCGGGTTGGCGCGGCACTCGTCAACGTCGCGGCACGATTGTCCGTTCTCTGTTTTCTCGTAGCCCGGATTGCACTCGCAGTTGTACCTATATTTACGTATAAAAATTAAATATATATTTATATTACCTTTCGCCACAGGGTTAGCAAAATTAAAGTTAACGTGGGAGGAGGGCTCACACAGGAGTACGAAGTGGTTACCGCTATGAAGCAAAGAGACGCGTTATCGCCCACGCTGTATAGTTTGGTTCTCAAATACATCATCCGGAAAGTCCTATTGATTAATGGTGGAATAGAGTTAAACGGACACTACTTGGGCAACGCGAATCGGATGTGGTGAAACTTGTTGAGGAGATGGAGAGAATAGGAGAACTGGTTGGTCTCAGAATCAGTCGAGAGAACACGGAATACCTGCATAATGGCGGTATAAAGATATCAATGTGGAGAGAAAAAGCCTCCAAGTGAACGGTACGCCTTATAAGGGCGTCAACAAATTTAAATACTTGGGATGCACTATTACCGACACCAACTAAAGGCAGTATTCACCTTATAAACGCGCTACGATGTACAAAAGCCCTTCACAAAGTGTTGGTGTCCAAGTTACTAAACAGGACTACAACTGGTCGTGTCTACAAAACAGTAATTAGGCCAATCTTAAACTATGGGTGTGAAACATGGACACTAACGCTAAAGGAAGAACATAAATTATTATTGGCAGAACGGAAGATATTTTGAAAGATTCTGAGATCAATCTAATGAGAATTTGGAAACTAGAAGGCCACATTCAATAGAGAGTTAGAAGAACTAGTGTCTGAGCAGAACAAATCGGGGAACTAAAATCTGCTAGACTTCGCTGGCTGCTAGCTGCCAAAAGGTAGAGCTGCCAAATGAGCTTATTTGGGGCAACCTACGGGTCATCTAGTGGGTCGTCTAGTGGGCCGTCCAAGATATGGATGAAGTCGACAAAGCCATAAAGGAACTGAATATGTTCGAATGGTCGGAATTGGCACAAGACCGACAGAAACGGCGTACTTTGGTGTCAGAGGCCAAGATCCACTTCGGGTCGCTGAGCCAGCGAAGTAATACCTTTTTATATGTAACTACACGAAGATCTATTTGAAATGCTTGTGACAAATTAATTTTATTTTTTAATTTATATTGAAAATTTTAAGCCTACGACTTCATAAACGAAACAGATAGAGATCTGTTTGATAAATTATTTTGATATACGTTCTTTTTCCTATATCTTACCTTTATATTTTAATTATACAATTTAAATAAATATTTTTAATAAATATTATAATAACTAAAATAAATAGTTTCATTTCCTATGGAACTCAGTAAGTAGTCTCCAACTCTAAAAAAACAAAGTTCTACCCGTCGCCGTCACGCCGCCGCTGGCAGCGTCCGTTGGTGCACATTTTGCCGTAGGTGAGCTCGCACTCGTTCTTATCGCTGCAACGCTGCCCATTCTCTACTGGCTCGAAACCCGTTGGGCACCTGCAAGTAATATTGCTTTAGACGCAGTTTGGTAATAAGCAGATACGGTGGCCGTAGAGTTTTCTTTCTTTCCACTTCTTCTACCTGGGCAGCATTTTCCGATAATGTGTCTCTATCAAGAAGTACGTCTAAAATTATATTACTATTCGAGTCAGTCTTCAATATTAGGTTGATCAATTATAAATATAAGGCTCCTTTAGGATAGAATCAGTGGAGTAAATGTGGTTAACGTTGGCGGAAAAAGTGAAATGCTACGAGGCTCTAACAATAAACAATATTTAAACGTGGCCTGCCAAAATACCATTACGTTGCAATAATCGATTGTTACGCACTAAAAATAGGTTACAAATTTGTAAGAATAACAAACGCATTAAATAGCACATTGAGGGCGGTAAATAAGGAATTAAGAATGAGACTCTATTGGAAGCCCGAAGTCGAAGACTGAGGGCTTTCAGAGTCGAACTTCGTAATTCCCACAACGCCCGAGACACAATGTTTTTCATCACAATTGCGAGTAAATAGTATGATTGCATGACTATAATGCCCTAAATAAAACCCACGGGCCTTTTTTGATTGGTTTTAAGGTCGTGTAAAGAGAAGAAAAAAGGCAAGAAGTTTTTATTTCGGGCATTATAGTCAAGTTAGCCTGCATAGAACGTACTATTTAAGTACAAGTGTAATGAAAATTTAATAATGATGTTAACTTTTTAAGGGCTCCATTGAAAAAAATTACAAGCGCCTTGCATTATTCGATTACTTAAAATAGTACCGGCATTCGAAAGATCCCATCGTGTTGATGCACTCGCCTCCGCGGCAGAAGCCAAGCGCGCACTCGTCCTGGTCTAAACACGTGGGGTTGCCTTCATCCTCCGCCGGTTGCGCACCCGGGTAGCAATTGCACGTGTAGCTATTCACAAATATTCATATTTCTTTATACTCAACTGAAAAGTCTGTGGCAAGTACATAGATAAATTCGTAAGATCCGCTGGCTGGATCTGATGCTCACATGATAATAGGTGCCAAGGTGAGGCAAAAGGCACTGGTTCACGTCCAATCGGATCGAAAGCGTTTTCTTTGTTCGTTCGATCTTTCTATCAATAATAGTTACTTATTCATTTGGAAGACCAACGGCTTGAAACTGAATTAAATGATAATAAACAACTGTACGCCGAACTAAAAGACCGTGGAAGTCGTGGGTTCGAATCCGGGTTACTGTCTTCTCCGGGTCTTTCTCCGGGTCTCTGACTTTTTCACGACTCTCGTAGGACGAGTGAAGCCCTAAACCCGCGTAAGTCCTGGCATATAGCATAAGCCCTCGCCTCATAAAAGACCCGTACCCAGCAGTGGGACTTATAATAAACTAGTGGAACATTTTCATGAAAAAAATATGAATATCATGATATTCAATATGTATTCATATTTCTTTTTTAACGTTTTCAATCGTGTCGCTTCTTTTTCATAAATAAAAAATTGGAGCGTAAAAAAGAACGAGTAAAACAGATATGACATACAAAAGTAGTGATGGACAGACAGAGATGACGACACTGTAAATGTTTCTAGTTTGATTTAAGGAATGGCTGTATCAGCGACTACAGCTCTACCATAAGGGAATAGATAAACTCTAAAAACTACACGAATGGTTTCGTAGTTAAACTTGTAACTCTTCAATCAAACTATAAGCGTTAAAGAACTTTGTTTAAGCCCGGTTTTGTCTCACTGCTGGGCAAAGGCCTCCCCCCCTTTTCCCATTGCTCTCAGTCTTGGGCAACGTCGGGACAGTCCTTTAAAAATTTGTCCAAGTCATCCCGCCATCAGGGACGGGGTATACCGCGTTTCCTTTTTGAGTTGTGGGGCATCTACTCTGTCGTTGTCCTGGCCCACAACTCGCTCGGCATGCGGCAGAAGTGACCAACCCTGCCTTATTTCAAAATAAATAACGCACACACTCAACATAGCCCAGCACTAGGGAATCCCTGTATCGCGGGTGTCATGGATACACACTTAGACAACCACAAATTACACCTAAACTCACGAGATAAATAAATGTAGGCCATACAAATATTTCTCCCGGTCCGGGAATCGAACCTGGGTCCGGCGTGATAGGCACGGAGGCAGTTAAAAAAATAAATACAGTGAAAAAACTAAACGAGCAGTGAGTATACTAACCCAACATCCTTGTCAACACACTTCCCAAGTCCACAAATATCTTGCCGTAGAGCGCACTCGTTGATCTTGGTAATAAACCCGGGCTCAGTGGTCCCGCCATTGCCTGTCTCAACGCATCCGTTTCCATCACATTCTTTCGTTGCTGGTATTTTGCCGCACAGGTGGGCGTATTCCGCTGTTTTAAAAAGATTTGTGTGCGTCAAAGATAATATTGTCCCTTTATAGAATCGGTCATCAACCAAAATAAAGAGCAAGTATATAATAGATACTCGTTTTCATACAGACTAGAGTTCTTTACTTACAAGTAGCTTTAATTCTTCCTATTTCTTGCGTTATTCCACAAAATAAAGTACTATGTGAGTGCGCGCCTTTTGTTTAAATTTCAATTACCTGTTTGAATACTATATTTTTTCAATGCATAAATTGTCATAATAGTCAGTTCAGGGTCCAAACTGATTATTTTTATATTAAAGTAAAATCATTGACCGCTATCTAGGCCTGGAACAAACATGGAGTCTACAATGGGCCAAGCTCGCCCAAACAATGCCTATCCGACTGCACCTTAAAGACACTCGGGTAGTATGTAGTAGCTTAGTAGCAGTAGACCTCCTTGTCAAAAAGTTCATCAAGGGAAGTACTGCTACTTTACCTGTTTCTGCCGCCAAGCAGTAATGTGAGCATTACTGCGTTCCGGTTTTGAAGGGTAAGGGTGCTGGTGAAATTACAGGCACATGGGACTTGTAAACTTATGTCTCAGGGTGACGCCGCATTGGTAATGCCCTCATATCTTTGGGATTTAAAACTCTGAGCGGCACTGCAACTGTTATGGATAGGCGTGTCGCATATCATCAAAGCGCATGATTTGTTCGGCCCGTCACTTACTATTACAAAAATCACGGGAGAAAAATGAAAGTGCCATAAGCCCCGATTACTATAAAAACCGATGTCGCCAAAACTCACACATTGTTAATTTGAAACACTACGAAGTCTTGATAATAATTAGTCGCAGTTTCCAGTCCAGAATTTGATATTTCTTTTTAAATTTTTAAAAAGAAATAATGAATAATAATGAATACCTATTATTGCAAGTTTTGATATTAAATTGAAATTTCAATAAATGTCCTTGTTATTTAGTTCTCCACAAAAGAAACGGCCATATTGCAGGGGTATAAGCTTTACTTTCGTTTCTTGTAAAAAAAAATGATTTCAATAAACAGAAAATTTAAAATCAGGTAATATTTTTGGTGCGGCCATTGACTTACAAATAAATGGACGACGGGTCTAATACAAAAACCACGAAAAAAATGTCCCAAGTCAACCTATTCGAAATTTAAATTGTAATGTCATCGCAGTATCGCGCTGTCAGTAGAACAAATGAAGAATAAAGCGGAGTTTGGCGCTCTGTATACGATTTTAGCGCCTTACAAGTGCGGACACATTTTAGCGCGGACCCGACGTCCATATAATTGTAAGTCAATGGGTGCGGCTATCATTTCTGCACTCCAAAACTGCACAATAAAACATTTTTCTAGGATTTTATAGAATTTACGCGAAAAAATTGACACAACCTTACCGTACAAAGCGAAAATGGCGGACTGAGGTCACATAGGTCTTAAGAGACCTATAGTTGGCACACATGTGAGGCTAACTAACCACTTCTACTGTATTTTCTGTACTGTGATAAAAATAATATGCTCGAAAATGTGTTTCCAAGCTTATTACACAGACAGCGACATACATTCCATTCCTTGGCTATAAGTATTATAAAGGATGACGAAAAACGCTTAGTATGCCTGAAAGGATAGTCAACCAAGTAAGGATGAACCTCCGCTTTATGTGTGGATGTAAGATGGTAAAAGGGGGGAACGAGCTGGTGGAGCTCATGAGTACACTCACCGATAATCAATAGAAAACCGACCGGAAATAAATGACAGTGCACAAGTCAGGCAGTTGTAATACTTACGTGTGCCTCTTGGCGGACAAGGGGCGCAGAGTTCGCCCCAGGCGCGGCCCATGTTGTACCCACAGCAGCAGTCGCGGTTGGAAAGAGATGTCGACAGTCGGTCGCCGCACTCGCCTGTCTCGCTCAAGTATTTGTAGCACACGCCCACGCGGCCGTCTGGATTCGGTAGACCGCAAATTATGAAATAAATTCTTGTAAAACAAACAATTTGTAAAAAAACCAAACGAGGTAACTGTTAGAACTGTCTATTTAAATATATTTCAGCGTCCAGTGTATGGAAGTTACGTACACGCAATAAACAGTGCCTCTACCACGAGTTTATTGTGACAGTTGTCGTTAATGACCGCGTAAATTACATCACAATTTTGGTTGGAAAATGATACAGCGCCCCTAGCGGTCACAAGAAGAAACAACATTTTGTATACAAACATTTTACACGGTCGCTATCGATAACTGTCACTGTAGTCTCATGGTTGAGGCACTGATTATTCCACTGAGTAATGTTTTCATTTCTAAACTGCCGCGATTATGGAAGACGGGTTCTACTCCGGAGCGTCCGCTGTCGTGTATGAACGCTAACAACTCTTGGCTTAGTATTCATTGAGTCCTAAACGTAAAGAGAACGTTATTTTTTAAAATTACGTACTCACCGATACAAAATTTCTTGTCGGGACTAGGAATAAAGTGCGGATTACACAAGCAGTAATAATCGCCTTCCGTATTCACACATTTGCCGTTCTGCAACAAGAAAATTTATAACTCATATTTCCTATGTATTTTGAACAGTTTGAATATAATAAATTTTCGAAAATAATGTGACTGGAATATTTAGAAATTATTCATGAATTTTGTAAGTACTTAATCTAAAATAGTAAATCACAGCCCTAAATCTATTAAAAATGTAGATAAACATATATATAATGGTCTTTGAAAAATTTAAAGATTTTGTCGTAAAAATCTCTTTTATAATGTTCTGACTTTTTGACGATAAAATTATTAGGTCATTGAACTTAGAACTACTTCAAATTCAACGCTTGTAGAAGCGCTACAGCCACGTTACTACTAATTTTCATACGTACATATATAAATATACTTCACGCATTTTTCCCATCGGGATAGGCTGAGATAAATAGTCTTCCACTTGCTACAGTCCTAACATACATCTTTCGCCTCAACAACACGCATCAGTGCTTTCATAGACGCTCGTCGGTTAAGGGTACTTTTGACTTAGCCCATCTTTAGAATGGCCTCAATTTGTTCATGGTAAGTCC